CAGGTTTTTAGTCAGTCTAACTCCCTATCTTTGCCTATGGTTATGAAGACCAAAGGGACAAGGTCATGAGTATAAGTGGTCAAAATTGAGTTTCTCTGCAAGGTTTCTGGGGTCACTATTCATGACTGGGCAAAGGATCCAGAGAGACAGAACCACTGCTCCTTGGGATGGAGAATCAGCCGTGGTGTTCTGGCCGGAATATAAGGGTTCCACGTAGCAGGCTTCCGAAAGAGCGATTCCAGATGTGGAGGCCCCAGCACAGACCCAGGAACTTCTGGCGGGGTCGTATCTCCCGAATGGCTTTTGAACATCTTGGAATCCCCCAGCATGAGCTGGACTCCGTGGCCTTGGAAGGAAAGGAACCACAGCAGCCCTTACCAGGAGGACCTGTGCGAACACAAGCTGACAGGGGCCATTTGCATTATGCAGCGATTGTTCTAGCCTGACAAGAGGGTCTTGTCTCTTGAATGCTTTTTTAAAAACACTGCTCCACTTCAAGGGAGACATGAGGTCATTGACTGTTTTAGGAGCATAAGATCCCATATTCCATTTTCTCCCCTTATATAATACTACAGCCCTATACCAGTTTACTGAGGCTGACTACAGCTATGTGGTACAAAAGGAGCTTCTACCACAACCAACTCAACTTCAACAATAAAACTGTATGATTTCCTAACAAATACTTGTTACTGACATTTATTTTCAACGTTGGCAATCTTGTCGACATGACTGAACTGTGAGCAATTACAGTTAAATTTGCCACCTTGTAAAAATAGTCAGCAAATGTCGGTCAGTATAAGAATGGGTGAGCGTGAAAATAGCTAAGCCATATAATGTGGAAAACAACGCTCCTGGACACTTTCCCTGCGAACCACATGATATCACAAAATAAGGCGAACAGAGTTTACCCATGTGTTGGATCTCAGCTAAGTTAAATGCCCTCAGTTGAGAAATAATAGGCCATTCATTCTTTTAAATAATTTCTTCATTTAAAAACTGCAATTTAATATGTTAGAATACTATTACATATACTTCTTAGAAGCCAATGTCTGAGTTACTGGTAGCTTGCTGCACAATAAATATAAAAATATGTGATTGTCAATTTTTGTGTAATGACAGGTCCACAGCATCGACTGCGCATCCACAGAATATATATTTTAAGTCTTTATTTAAAACATTATATTGAGAGTTACAATAGTTCTGGCTTGAAACATTAATCTTCCAGCAAAGTTCTTTCTTTGTGTTCCAACCAATCATTTTATAAATATGCAGTAGGCCGTGTTCTGACAACGGATTGTACTCATGTGACTGAAATGTGCTGCCAACTGCTTATTGAGTTCAGGGTCACTGGGGGGGCCTGCAGCCTGTCCCAGACAGCATAGGGGACAAGGTGGGGGGTGCCCGTCCATCACAGGACACACGCTAGCCCGCACGCCCGCATTCTCGTATTAGACTCATTTTATTCTAACTGCATTTCTTTGGACAGCAGAAGGAAACTATAATACCCAAAGGATTCCTGGACGACATTTGCGCAAACCCACACACATACAGCGGGGGTGGAATTCAAACACAAGACTTCGGAGGGTGCGGTAGTGCGACGCACTAAACCGCAATGCCATGCCCTAATAAAAGGCAGCTTATGTTAATTATAAAAATACTTGGTGGACTAGGCTGAAGAAACAACTCTTCATTGTGGATTTAAATACTGAGGATAATGTGCCTGGGATTGGCATCAGGCTCCCAAAACAACTGCAGCCTGGAAAAATTACCGGGAGACTGATAGGTGAATCTGCACTCAAAGAGGGCCTCGAAAACTCACAATAATGACAAGGGGTTGATTGCGACCACTTAAGCAGAAAATACTTTAAGTTTACATAAGCAGGCCGTTCAAATGTGGAGCCACCTTCAGATCTAGGGTTTGTGACGTATTGCCAAGATGAACAGTAACAGCTTGGAAGACCCAAAGCAGAATCCTTCACCTTGAGAAATAGAGAAGCATAAAGCAACCTTATGTCCTGATGTTATCCTTAAATGATCCATGTGGATGTAGCAAAATGTGCTGGGTAAAGCCTCATTGCTTCCTACAATGCGTGTAATGTAAATGTTTACTTTATTATTTGATTTTTATATTATGTGATTTTTGTATTACAGTATTTCCTGCACACACAATTCATATTGTTGTTACTAAACCATGAATTTCCCGACCATCAGAAATGAATCGTATCTTAAAGAGCTTTCTATACTTGCTTAGTTGCATTTTTTTTTTCACATTTGTGAGCAATAAAATGTTTCAACAAGCTCTACAACCTAAGCCAAAAACTCTCTTCATATATCCACTCACCATACCTTACAGGGGATGCACAGACAATATGACACTGACACGGCCTCTCACGGTTTCAGATTTTGAAAAATCTTGCCTTTCTAACAAAGTAAATTGTGCAATAAATTCTTTTGCCAAAAAATACATAATACTAAAAGTAAACAAAATAGATTTTACTTTGCAACTTTGTAAAGTTCCCATACAATTGCTACAGCATTTAAGGTTTTATGTTTATGTATGTTTATATCTGTCAAATGAACTTAAAAGTGTAGATACTGTGTTTTAAACCTATGTCCTGTTGCATATTTTTGGCCACACATTTGAAAATTCTTTCCTCTGGAAAATTGTTTCTGGATTTTATCACTTTGTCTGAAACAATTTTGATATTAAACAAGAAATTAACTCCATGTGGATCCATCTCTTTCCCCGCCACAAACCAGAGCACTCTACTTGAAGAAAATGCTACACACAAGAGGGAAAATACATTAGAGGTTAGTGTCACTCTAGTAATTGGTTCTCATAAAAATTCACTTTCATGTAGCTGCCATTGAATCATTGTCTGCTAAAGGGCATCGTCTACACCTTGAAAGTCTTTAATAAATTATCTCATGGTTCAGTCTGCTTCCATGCAGTTTCCAAGAGACTCAGAAGTCTACTGTATGTATCTGGACTGAGTTAGAAGTAATCATCACAGCCATTTGTGGGTGGCTGCGTTATGTGACTGTGGCTGTCTGGTCAAGTCCAGCTCAAGTCAGTCAAAATTGAATAGCAAAACATATTTACGCCTCTATTATGAAGCAGAAAAAATCAATTATGTTTAATTCACAATCTTAGTCTTACTGTGAGAAGACGTCCGTACCTAATCTGATCATGTTTGGGTTTCCGTACATTTTTGTTATATTAGTCTGCTAAACAGAACAGGATTTGTAAGGTACAATTCAGAGTTTGCAGGAGTATGGGAATATGAATTCACTAGCAGCTGTGTGTTTATTGATTTATGTTTTCTTTTATTATCTTTATATTACAGAAATGTTTTCTTTATCCAATTGGAATGAAGTTTATAATAAACGTATGCCGATTTAAGAAATGTAATAAAACTGCAATTATTTTGTCACATCCAGTCCAAATCCCGCTTCACTGCTTACCACTTGCCAACTTCAGATGGTTTACCTCAGCAATCACTCACAGCTAGTTAATCTGGCAATTTATTAATCTATTTTAGATCATTTGTGGTCAGTGCTTCCTTACTCAGTCTTGGGTTTGATCATTTTCACCTATTGGGTCTTGTTATGGTGGTCTCTTGGTCTGGCTTTTGATTTGTTTGTGGTCTCAGTTTCCTGGATCTATTTGGAATGGACTGTCTAGCTTAGCATCCTGGATTCTGTTTGTTGCTTGTCTGACCCTTCTTCGAACTATGATGCTGTCTATGGTGATTCCCTTTAAATTTGGCACAAGTACAGCCCAGATACGTCATCTGCACAACTTGTAGTCAGAGGCCCCAATCCCATGATCACAGTGTACTTGGACGCCAAGTTGTTGAAGAGGACAAGGCCAGTGGGCAGAAGACTTAGCTTTGGGTGTGTCCTTTTGTTGGTGATTCATTCTGAACTTTATAAATAAAGTTCAATTTCTTAAAATTCTGGCTAAGAGACCTCTCTATATTTTTTTTAAATCTGCATTTTAAATCCTGGTTTAATCCAACACTGCTATATATATATATATAGCTGCCATGTCCAACTGACCCTTCTGTTTCCTCCCTAGCATGGCCCTAAAAACCACGCGCATCACTCATTTATCTTGCCTCTCATTCCTGCCCTCATGTTAATCACTCCAGCTGCCTCTCGTTAGCTCCCTCATCACTCATGTGTAAAAGTACTTCCCAGTCCTGTCATTGGCATCATTCCTCCTGTTGCCTGTGCCTTACCTTTTGCTAGCCTTCCTGTTTTGACCCCTTGTGGTCTTGCTTTGTTTCACAGTTCCTGTTGTATAACCCCAATAAAGTCCCATTTTGTATTTTGTTTGCCTCACACCTGTTCCCAAGTTGCTCCTTTCCAAAGCATGACACAGACACACACACACGTGTCATATGTAAACCATATATGCTTAAAAAAGGTAGAAAAAAACAACAGCCACAAATATTTAGAAAAGTATTTATTTTGTTACTTTAAGAGATATAAATAACAAATATTATAAAACACATTTTATTGAGCTATTTTACATAACAACTATTTTATGCTTTGGCGTCTCAGGCATTTGCACACAGAATTGTCTATTTGGAAAAAAAAACCAAAAGAATTCAGGAGTTAGTTTTCAGAGAAACCATCCTGTTTCATGTAAGAGAAAAGCACCTTTGATTAAAAGCTAACTACAACAAAGCTACTCTTAAGTGCTGTCAATATTCCTAAAGCTACAAAACAAATGAATGCAAACACAGGTACATTCATTTTTCAATAGACAGAACATTCTAGAGTGAACTGTCAGTGAATTATTACTGTTGTCCATAACCAAATAAATAAATACAATTAAGTGCATTTCCTCTACGCCCTCCTTTGAGGGGAACACAAAAAAGATTGTTGTTTTTAATTTATAAATGATGTACCAAAGTCAATTTGGTCTCACCACAATCTTGCTTAAGATTTTCAGTTCTCAAAATGACAGGCAGACAGTCCAGCTATCTTTAGTTCATGTTTTTTTTTTTTTTTTTAATTGTCTGTGTATTTTGCTTTTCGTCCAAAACCTATTTATTTCCACAACCCATTTAGAGCCATGCACATAACGCTGGGGACTGCAGACCACGGCTCACTGAAGCCGCAGCGTATGAAGTGACCAAAGGTGCGGAGCCCAGGCCTCAGTGAGGAAGGCAGCCCTACACTGCACCTCACAGATGTGAAAATCGCTTCCTGGAGGCCACAGCGTATGTAAGTCTTTGTTTCAGACTCACCACTTTTGTGGCCAAACTGGTCTAAACATCAGCTGTGGTATTTTTAGCTATCGACAGCTGTAGCATTGTTCTTATACATATTTTTTTTTTATTTACTGGAAATCATAGATTAATGTTTATGCATGCCATCTAATCTTAGGCACCAAATGCATCACACCACACTGACTGTTAAGTCACTTGTGACAAAAGCATTTGTATTCACACAAACCTTAATGAATGACCTACAAACGATATACCTTGCTTTGTAATTTATTAAGCATGGGAGTACCGTTTAGGATTTAACAAACAGAAATTTAAAAACACACAGATACGTGAGCCTTGGACCTCCACAACCTGAGTATGACTTTAGCCATTCTCATCCTTAGGAGCCACAATACTGCATTTTCTTAACATCTCAATCTACATAATACATGCTTTATTACAAAATAATTATAGAAAATATATGTGCCCCTTATCCCCTCAGTTACTCTCAACCACATTACCCCGTAGGACCAGCAATAGCCTTATAAACTTAGCAGAATCCTCCCTTATTGCATCCATGGGACACGACACAGAAAAGTCACATGCCTGTATCTTTAGCGACTTTAACGCCACAAACTGGCGAATGTCGCCACTACTTTCAAAACATACGCTGCCGAAGTAGAGGGATTTCAGGCTTGTGTGCTTTTCTGAATCTGTAACAGATTACTCACAGTTATAGTTTTGGTGTTACACAGCCTTTTCAATCTGTATCAAAAATCATAGAGAAAATGCTTGATATTTTACATATAATACATTAATTCAGCAAATTAAACTGACCACTGTGGCATTATTATTGACACACCAAAGGTCAGACAGTGAATGTTTACATTCAGATGCAGTGCCCAGTATTCAGTACCAATAAAGGCATTTTAAATTATGCATGACTGTTTAAGTTGTAAAAAAAAATCAGCAACAACAACTGTAAAAATTTTGTACAAAAGCTAAATAAAATATATAAAATTAAGGATAGAAAACACATTAGGAGTTTCAAAAGAGCTCACACATACATTGCAAAGCAATATTTTAGAAAATGAAGAGACATGTAACTGTCAGGCTACATTACGATAACAATCACAATAAGTATCAATTTTGAAAATTTTGAAAAAGGCTATTCTCTAGTCGCTAATTTCAAATTTAGTATGTTTTTTTTTTAGTTTTACTCTGAATAGACAATGATGAATAGGAAGCGTTGCACTGAATTCTACTATAAGAATGTTGTTGAATTTTGAAATTCTGCACATTCTTAGAATCGTTCTTGACACATACAAAAGCTCAAAACTTGCAAATATGTTTTCAGTGGTTCTTGATCAAAATGTTCATAGGTTGGACCGCATGCACAACCATTTTCAGTAGCAAGGTGCATGCGTTCAGTTACTTATCTTAAAAGCACCAAAGTAACTCCCCTCTGGATCTGGGTCCAACAGCCATGAGTTGGACACATTGACAAACAGGCCATCCCCCTCCTTCAATGTAAAGATCCCGCTCTGTTGCTCACAGTACATGTTGTAGACCCCGTTCTTCCAGCGCTTGGTGCTGCCACTCTTCATAATGACCATGGGTTTGATTGTGCTTTGTGTGTGCTTCTCGTGGTACACGTACTGGATGAGCTGCGTGTTGCCATCTTGCAGAAATTCTGGCTTAGTAAGCTCCTCATAGTACCGGAAGCAGGTTTTAACGTATACGACGTAAAGTCCCACCTCTTGGATCAAAATGCGTCCGTCATGGTATCTGATTTTATGTAGATGTCCCTGGGCTTCCTTCCAGAGTATCATCGTTGCTTGAATTTCTCCCTCTGCAAACATGACAGAATAGACTTCACCAAACCTAAATTTATCAAATCCAATTGAAATCCTCATAGTATTATAATGTTTTTTGAGACACGTGGAGTTAAAGGTCTGCAAATTAAATTTCCGTCCAAATTCAGGAGTAGCCTTCTTTAAATCATGGGTTAAAACCTTAAAGCAAAGACAGCAGGACTGGGCACAAAGCATCAGCTGTCTCTAGGCCATTCCAAGGAAATCCTATTACCGCGCCTGAATGGACAATGCACCAGACAACAGGCATCAGACGCAGCTGACTCACTCTTGACGTAGTTGATGGGGACCAAGATGGGTAGATGGGCCGCGGGTACAGCCTCCCTTTGGTGCTTTGAGCATCTCTGCCGCTCTTTTTTCCTCGGATCCTTCAGTGCATCAGCACGGATTGGTCCAACCTGTACTCCCTTTAGACAGAGAAAGAGCAGATATTTTTTTGGTCTTGGGCACCCTGCACATCTCTCCCCAACCTCAGCCCTTAAAATGGATTTTGCTCTTAGTATATTAATACTAAACATGGCCTTTAACGGTCCATTACCACTTCTCAGGATTGGAAGAAAAATTAATGTGAACAAAAAATTCGACAGGAATCACTAGAGAATCTTGTACTACAATAACTCTGCATACCAGACCGGCAAATCGCAAATAATTAATACGCTGATTTTGAATCCCAGTCAATTATTGGTGGAAAGCAAACACAAAGGGCTCCTGTGCATTCCAACAATACCTGTGGCAGTAATTTTGTTTTTTCATCGTTTGCCTTTCTCCTCAAGATACGGCACCATTGATAACACCATAGGACTTAAGTGCTCAGAGTATGTTGTGAATACAAATCACTGACATGCTTTAGTGTTCTCTTTGTATAACACTGCAGCAAAACATAATATTTAAAAACACATTGTTATGATTAAGTCTATTGATATTGTAATCTGGAGCGGAGCAGTATTCATCCGACTACCCTAAGCTGTACTGTTAATGCAGGAAGATCTGAGAACCTTTTCTCTAACCTTTGATAGCTGGGTTATGCCACAGTTAAAAAGAAGTAGCACAGGGTGGGACAAACAGCGCAGAGATGGAGCAGGTCGGCTTGGCAGGATCCTGGTAAAAAGTCTGGGAAAAGCTGCCATGTTGCATCTCGAAAGCAACGATTATGTGGCTTCTATATTTATTCATAATACAGGTGTTTTAAGTGAGTAGGGCATAGTTGGTAGTCCGGAATTAGAGTCGTTTGCCTTCCAAAAACAATTTGCCACACAAACACGTTTAATGCAAGAAGGGCTGAAATTAGCACAGATCAACAAGGCTGGTCAAGGTTACAGAGAGATCCTGACGCAAACCCACAACCTAGTGGGGTCTGTGGGTGATACACGGCCAGGAGTGTATCCACCTCACGCTACTTACTGGAAGAGACCTACAAAAGCTGAGTAACCGTATCCATTTAAAGATAATAACATAAAAGCTTAGCCTTTTAGCCTGTCAGTCTTTCTAATTTACAGTTTAAGGTTATAAGTTTCATAAGGTATCATTATAATAGACAGCCATCTGATACATGTGAACGGTGCTGTTGGTATATATGAAAACAACCTGCAAAGGGCAGAGAACCTATGAAAATGAAGTACATTAAAAATAAGTGCATCAGAAATAATGCTATTTTAAAGATAGGTGGGATGCTTTATAGACTTGTTCATTTTTAGATGGTAGACGATTAAATGAACATTTTTGCTTTTTCTCAGCACATTAATTGCTCCCACTGGAGTTACACAACTGAGCTTTAAAGCACCGACATGTTCAGAAGAGCTAGACATTGCCAATGATCTAATGAATTCATAATTGTGTGTCTATTACAGAATCGGCAAACCGCAAACACAGTGCTTTGGGCACTTTCTGCAAATCCAGAAGGTCCAACCCCAAAGTCTAAAATAATTCAGAAATCTGATAGCACGGAATTATTGGCTCTGGTATCTTACTCAGGCTCAGGGACACAAACAGGATAATCCTGGGTTCTGATAAACCAACTGGCATTAATTTTCTACGAGTCACAGAGGACTCATTAAACAAATTGTACCTCTAGTCAGTCTCACCACGTGGTTGCGGAGTAAACTTTGAATACTGCACTGGCTACATTGATAATGGCTATAACTCCTTCTTGGGCAGAGACGTGTAATTGCCATGTTACCACAGTGGTTTAAAAAAATACTCTGGAACATCTGTGGCAGAGAATGATACGCGTAGTAGAAGAATTTGCTTTTTCTTTTCCTATTGTTACACATTACTGTGTTAATCTAATCTAATCTAATCTAATCACTGCCCTTAACAACCAAACTTCATGGCTAATATAATACCAGTTTTTTATAGTTCCATATTTCCATACATTATTCTTCAGTGTAATGGAATCCACTATAAACAGTTCCATTATTAAGACTATTTTTTTATGACCCACGAAATATGGGGCGTAGGGTTGTGAAAAAACGATCCAAAAAAATATTGATTTGCATATTGATTGTTTTCTTGACTATAAAACAATGCATTTAGAAACTTGTTTGCAATTGTTTGCTTTTATTTATTTTTGTTTATTGGGTGTCAAAACTAATTTACAACTACAACATGTATAAAAACATTATATAGGAAGAACAATTAATAATTCATTATTCATATCAAGTGTGAGACAAATCACTCACCTCATCTGGCATCTCCGTGACAGAATAATCTGAAGAGAAATCCACCTAGAAAGACACCATGAACACCGCAAGCTTAATAATGCACCACCCCTAATAACATATGTGTAACCAGTGGCCTGTACTACGAAGCGGGGTTACTGGCTTATCGGGGTAACTTGTCGGATTTAAGGTACCACAGTTTAAATGGACTTCATATTCGCTCACTTACATTTTGCCCAGACTACCTTAAATCCAACAAGTTACCCCGATAAGACAGTAACCCCGCTTCGTAGTACAGGCCACAGGACTCGAAACTTTAAACAAGGCTCCATGACTTTGTTGCTGAATTTCAACCAAAATGGTTCAAGGTGCCAAATGTTGCTTGTGGGATAATTTGGACACAGATTTTAGCGGAGATTACTAATGAGAAAGTTCATTTTGGCTGGTTCAATTCGGCAACAACAATCGGCATCGCACTCTTCAATTAGTGGTTGAGAATCAGCGGCCACATGACGTGCTGAGCAGCAAAGCGCTGGTGGTCTCATACCAGGGAGAACTGCACTGATAAACAAAAGGTTGCAAGTTTAAATGCTTGTGTTATGGACTAGGGTACTTGACCAGATTTGCTAAACATCCGTGTTAAACTTTGGCTTTGGACAAAGCTGTCTGTTATGTAAACCAGCAACAAAATGCTCTTTTTAGTGCATTTATTATTAACTTTTTAATAATTAATAAATCACTAATTACAAAAGTTCTGTCATAATGGCTTTAATAAAAGGTGTAGCTTCCGTCGGGTATTCATCTTATTTTTCCTTGGGTTTTCTCCGAAGACAATCCCAGCTGAGAATGATCCCTTTTCCCGCGTCCGCGTTTCTTGGCCGCCAGCCCACATTTTAATCACACGGCACAACGTTAAGTCTTCCCCCGTACCGGTGTTTAGAAGCGCACACTTTTGGTTAAAGTAACTGCACGAAGCAGACAGGGGGAAATTGTTTAAAAGAAGGTGAGATTGTTATATGTGATCCTCGCTCAAGCTGTTACTTAGTTGCGAGGGGAAAGGGGGGGCAGTTCCGCTTAATGTTACCGACAGCAAATAAAAGGCGCTCGAAAGCGAGGCCGCTCAGAGCTGTAAACACATTCCACTGAACCTGAACACTGTAAATATCACCATGTAAATATTACTATGCTCTAAGACAGTGAACAGCTGTGCAGGACACCGGACCAAATCAGCCTTTAATCTCGAGGTCAATAAACTTCACGTACCAAGTCCGAAAATGTTTGCATTTCAGTTTACTTCATTTTGAAGGTAAAGTAAACTGAAACCACTGCAAGTTAATAACAGACTGCACCATACAGCAGTGATTGTTTTTAACACATTAATAGCAACCGCACATTAAGCACATGGTGCAACTGCAATGCACGAAATGACATCGGCTATTAATAAATCATTATTACAATAGTTTAGCAGTCACGCCTGTTAATATGTTACAGCTTTGTTCTGCAGCGACCGTTTGACGAAGAAAAGGATAATGAAATTGTTAGTAATCGCGGATGTTGCCATCATAAATGCGTTCATTCAAACCATAATTTACATCACCGGAGAATTTCTGAATGAAAATACAAAATCCATTTTTCGTTAAATTCTTAGGAAACACGGACTGACACGGATTTATTACACGTCTTTCTTAAATTTCAAACTGAACATAACCTTACTAAAATTACAGCTCGATATAACGATCGATTCCAAGTATATGCAATGCCCTCGGATTTTAATAAAAAAAAAAATCTCGAATTCACGATTCAAACCTAGACCCGGACACAAACCGGAAAGAAGTCGAAAAAAGAAGATTTCTCACCTCATGTAGGTAACCTGTTAGGTGTAACAAAATCGCGACACTCGATGCAACCTGAAGCACTCCCATAACAACCAGCGTTCCCAGAACGAGCGGTCTGCAGGTCGCTCTCGCGCTCTGAATGGGATGTAAACGAGCCTGACCGTGTTCCATTTCGGAAGGATCCTGAGCGTAACCGCGGTAATCATTAGAAGCCATGAGCCCGCGATTCTATTTT